GAGTGACGTCACTCAGAGCACAAAGCATAGAGTTAGAGTGAATAGATCTGCCCAGTCATGGATCGGTCACATTGTCACAGATACTCGATCCAGAAGTATGTTACAATATCGGGACCAATACCGATAATGGTATTGGATTGGTGCATCTCTAATTATTATTATTATTATTATTATTATTATCATTATTAAAACAGCTTTTAAAGAGTAAAGAAAAAGGGAGGGGTCAGTGAAGAACACCGGAGTTGAGCCTTTTGTCGTCCAGTGTCTTCAGTAGAAAGAGAGAGATGAACGATAAAGCCGATAAATGAAAATGAGGTCGATAACTTTCATTTATCGTGCGATTAATTGATTTATTGTTTATTATGACAGGACTAGCTTATACACATGCGCATCTTATATATGTACTTTTATTTTAAATTAAATTTAGTGTGCGAAGCTTATACTCTGGTGCGATCTATAGATTGGTAATTACGGTAAATTATGGTTCTAGTCGACAGTCGGTGACGCAGCGTAGCATCAGGTTCATGAATGGGGCGGAATGTGATGAGAAAAATGAGGGTGCATTGTGTGAAACTTTAGATGTGACTTTATCGTGTACCGGACCATTTCAAGCACCATTTACAAGTTATAACATAATAAGTGGTACAAAAACTGGACTCACCCACAGGCGGTTCTTCGTGTCAGCTGTTAAAAAATCTAAAAGTGAAACACAAAAAGTCTCTCGTTAGAAAGCGTCTCCTGTAAAACAAGACAGGCGAGTTCAATTGAGTTTCGTCACAGTTCTCGTCTTACTGGGGACGATGAACCAAGGAGACACAGTTGGGAAGACGAAGGGAAACGTTGTCATGGTGACAGAAAATGGCGGCGCGCTGCCTTTTGGAACGCCGTAGCTCGTCGTGGGGGCGACGACCCCGGCAACCAAATCTTCCAAGTCGGGCATGGCTTTCGCTGCCATCCGAGGAGCTGCAGGAACAACAACGAGTCGACTGTTTTGTTTAAAAGCATCTTTAAAAAAACAATTAAACAAAACAGAAACCGACCACTTCTTTTTCTACAACGGTTGCCGTTTAGCTTTAATATTTGAAGCTGAGCTGTGAACTCGTGTAAAACAAAGAGCTGAACATTACCTGCAGAGTTTCAACACATTTTCATTATTAAATGTCATTCTTTTATAGACGAAGGTTAAAATATGTTTTTTTTTTTTACTTTTTCTCTCACTGACAGCTGTATCGCCTGGATGGTGTTTTAATATTTGTAATCTTTTGATTAAAGATATCGTTAAGGAAAATGTTAGCATGTTCGGTTAAAAAAAAAAAAAAAGTCTTCTGGACGATCCAACATCCTCACTGTAAACTGGAAGCCATCAGAGCAGAGCTGCAAATATGAACTTTTAAAACATATGGTGCTCCAGCGCTCTAGTTTTTTGTAAAGTTCAGATAGAAAACTTGTGTATAAATATATATATATATATATATATATATTTCGAATGCATATAAATATTTTTTTCATTAACTCAAACCTTTATTTATACATTTAGCCATGAGGGCTCATTTACAAGAGGGACCTGTTCCAGACAGAACATATAAACTAGACAACAAAACAGTAAACAATAACAATAAACTACAGTAAAAATCCAGTTAAATAAGAATAGTGTATAAAACAATAAATCAGGGTGCTGTAAAACAGGGTGAAATATTAAAAACAAGAACATATTTGCTTTGATTTTTAAACTGACATTATCAAATGTTTGAAACTCCTTAAAGAAATTAAGGAGGACAACTTCAGTTTATGTTGCCAGGTGTTCCAGGTGCAGGAGCAGAGTAGGAAAAGGCCGTTTTGCCAAGTTCAGTCCGCACTGAGGGGACGCTGCGGGTAATGATGTCCTGAGAGCGCATGTTGTAACTGCACTGACGTCATGACATGTGGGAAGAGATATAAGAAGGCAGCAGACCAAGGAGGGATTTATAGATGAAGATGAACCAATGTGAGAGTCTGCGTGTAGATAATGATGACCAACTGACCCATGAGAACAGGGTGCAGTGATGGTACATTAGTTACAACCAGTTATGAATCTTAGCGCACCATGATAGACAGCATCCAACATCTGCAAGCAGCTGGCAGGAGCATTCATGTGAATAATGTCATCATAGTCAATGGCCGGTAGGAAGGTAGCAGCTACAAGGCGTTTTCTGGCATTCAGAGTTAAACAAGATCTACTGCTGAAAAAGAAACCCAGATTTAATTTCAGTTTTTTCATCAAGTTTTCAATATGTGGTTTAAAAGAGATGTGCATCGACAATAAATTCCCAAGTGTTTGTAAGAATCTACAAACTCAATAGGAACTCCATGCATGGATGAGATAGGAGGAAGAGTTGCTGGCACCGACTTCCTGTTGGAAAACAACATCCCTTGGGTTTTATCAGCATTTAGCACCAGCTTGAGATGGAATAAGTCTGACTGAATGGTGTCAAATGCAGACTGTAGAAGCTGGAAAACCTGGGCAACTGTGTTAGCTCGGCAATAAACAACAGTGTCATCGGCATAGAGATGCAAGGTTGCGTCAGGAACGTTTTGACCTACATTATTTATATAAATTGTAAAAAGAGTGGGACCTAAAACTGAGCCTTGTGGCACACCATTAGTGACCATTAGGTAGCTAGATGAAGTATTGTTATGTCGAACACATTGCCTCCGACCTGAGATACTGTAGTTTGAGAACCAGCCAACAGTGTGATCTGAATATATATTATATCTATAAAAAAAGACGTTGTTTTAAAGGTCTGGTCTTGTTGATATGCGTGTTTCAGGATTGCTCAGTTAATGCATTGTTCATAAAACTTTTCACAGAACCCAACTTTTAAGCAACAAAACAATTCTTAAAAAAAAACAACATTGTTTTGTCTGTAAATATAAAAAGATGCTGGTTCCAGCCCTGGTTGTGTCGATCAGGGTATCCAGAGCAAAACAATCGCCAAACCTTCTGTAGATAGAGAACTTTTACTAATTGGCTTTATAACGTATGTGAATGTTTCTGTTCAGTGCCCTGAGACGACTTCTGTTGTGACTTGGCGCTACATAAATAAACTGTACTGAAATGAATTAAATGAGGAAATGAGCAAGAAACTACAAGATTCTCAGCAACTTGTCACGTAAGAAAAACCTGTCGTTTTCTGGACCACCACTAAGAAAAGTGTTTGGATCCGCCATTGATTAAACTTTTTTCTTTGTTTGATTCTCACAAGAGCCGTTACTGCACTGGATTACTGTTAAATTTAAATTCATACAGACGCTCACCCAATGCCGTGTTGGTGCTTCGAGGTATTTTCATCCTGTAGACGATGTGAGCGGGGCAGCGTTTCAGGAGGCTGTACCAAACTCCGAGCCGGTCAGCATCTCGACTGGTCTCAAACTCGATATAAACCTGGAACAAACAAACAGGAAGTGTCTAAAACATGTTCGATGGGCTTGTTGGGAGTGTTGCGTTTGTGTACCTTTTCCAGCAGAGGAAAGTAGTTTTTTACAGATTTAATCTTCTTCAGAGTTTCCCTGAGGCTCCTGGCCTCGCTCGGTGCAATGTTCCTGATGAAGATCACACACTCTCCGTCCTCAGGCACCGCCTGCTCAAACAACAAAAAAACAGGCAGCCTTCTTGTTTTAAACACGTTTTAACAGCTTTAAACGCTGCGGGAGGACATTTAAAGCCCAAATGTGGTTTGAGGCTCAGTCTGTAACATGGAAAGCCCTTTCAAAATAAATGAACAATTCATTAGGCAGTACCGTAACTGCACACTTTGTACCCTGCGGTTTACATGCAGGAGCCTCTTTATGTATTTTTGTCATAATTTTCAAAATTTACATTTTTATTTTATTTTGAAGGACATCCTGTCGTCTCTCGGTAACTTCCTGCCACTGATTAACGTTTTCCTTTCACAGAGCTGGCCGCTTGTGGCTCCCAGCGTCCCGCGTTTGTGACACAAAGAACGCCCTCAGGTAATTAGATATACGACGACTCTTGCTCAAGGTTTCAAATTCTAATACATAACTCCACCCACTCTGTCATCATGTGACCAGAAGTCTAAAATGAATGACCAATGAGGTGCTCTGGAGGACCACCCCCCAAGATAGACATGAATTACTTTCTTCAGATCGTTCCCGTGTTGTTTATCGTATTTTGCGCTTCGTGCACAGACCTGTTCATTTGTTCAGCGATAACGGAAAACGCACGGAGAATACGCGTTTAAATACCGGGATCTCATTTTAAAGTCACGTCCGAGCACGAAGCGGAGAAACGGAAGGCGTCTCCGCCCTCTCCCCCTTCCATACACGAGAGCTCAACTGTGGCCAAGTCGTCGCATTTATTTTTAAAGCGGTCAGTCAAGACTGGTACATGTTTAAACAAAAGTTTTAAAATAAATTCTGCGTACGGTAAATATGCGTTTAAATACCAGTATCTCATTTAAGCTTAAACAAGGGCATTAGGGCCTTATTCGACTTCCAGTCACCTAAATAAGATTGGGTTTAACTGGTAAATAATAATTTAATTTACGTAGGTGTGTGGCACTGTTCTGTCCGGTGATTATGCTTAGATAGTTATTGTTTATTTTGAAGGTACAACGGTTGTAAGCATGCGTCAAGAAGGCGAAGCTTCATGTCGGCTCGTGACGATCTTGCGCTCCGAGTCTGTTGAAAGCAAGTTATATTCTGTGAAACTCCACCTGCTGGCTGGTTCTTGTACTACAACAAAGCTGCAGATTGCGCCGGAGCAGACTGGAGGCACAGATTCTGACGATGAACGGTGGGTGCCCGCGGCTAAATAACCGGAGCGTCCAATTTTTGTACAAAATCATGATTCATCTTATATTTAATAAGTGCGGCTTAGAGACGGGTGCGTTCTAAAGCCCGAGACTTAAAATGTGTGCGTTTACTTACATATTCAGCCACTTCCATTATGGATTTATAAAATTCAAACTGAAACAGAAATAAAGAGGAAACGGTGTTTTCAGATTCAGTGTCTTGTTTAGTTCACGTCACTTAGAAACCAAAGACTTGCTGCTCTAATGTTGTACAACAGCTGGTACCTGCACCATCTTTAAAACTTCATCATCAGTCCTTGACTGTTTATTTTATTTATTTATTTCACCTTTATTTAACCAGGCATAAACACGAAGAACAAATTCCTATTCATAGCGCTGGCCTGGGCTGCTCAGTCCGTGATATTCACGACACAAACACGGACTAATGAATTCACATTTCCTGTGAAAATGCTAACTGCTGAAAAACAGCTGAATAGTAGCTAAAGAAATAAAGAAAAAAGCT